GGAGAAAAGGAAGATACTTGTATAAATAAAAACAGAACACTGAAGGGATAATGAGACAAATATTATTTAGAGCTAAAATGATAGAAAGTTATGGAAATCCCCACAAAAAGAAGAATATGAAACTTTTACAGAGGATTTCCAATATTTAAGCAATAACTCTGTAAAAGCAAATTGAAATACTCATCGTGTTCTAAGGATGTCGGTCTTCTGTGCGTCGTGTTCATTTTGGACGTTGACAATTATGGCTCTCCACAATTTCCTATCTTTTAGCCGCTTAATATTTTTTCATTAAAGTTCAATTTACACAATGTACTTTTTAGATAGTTTTTGTGCTGTTTTTCAATGTCATGTGTGCCTTTAATAAGCCCTGTGAGTGTCAAGACGTTTCCTCATTAAATTTCTTTTCCTTATGTTAAATATAGGTGTCTTTTTCATCTCCATTTTCTTAAAACTTTATCGTTTCTCACATATTGAATTCATGACATCGTCAACATCTTTCTGTATAACAACATTTCTTTTCCTTTAATTCTCTTATCATCTGGGAGGAAATTGTCAAGCATTCACGGTTCTATGACCGATATTTTATTAAATTATTCTTTTGCTTTTTGCTAACGGCATTCTAATGATTCGTAATAATTTAATATCTGATTATATCTCTTAGATGAGATATTATAAGTACTTGCATTATTTACATTATTCGGACTGTTATCCTGATCTTCATTATCATATTCCAGTGAGTACACCCAAAGAGTTGTGAGTTCAATACCACGCCACAGTAGTGATCAACCAAAAAAGATAGAGAGTTGAGTTAAAGGAAAATAACTGAGATATTCGTAAGATGCATGGCACGTGGAACTAGAAGATTCTACCCCGGCAAACAAAATAAAGCGGTTCATTATAGCACTCACATGAAGAAGGCCAGAGCGTACAACGGCAAACGTTATGAATATGGCAATGAAGATGAGGATAACCGATGTAAATGATGCTTTCGTGAATAAAAAATTTGTCATTTGAGAGGGGGGTACATTTTGCTATCACAATCGTTTTGGATTTTGTTATCCCAAAATAAAATTTTTGTACTTGATATATTTTCAATTCGCATGTTAGGCTTTTTCTTTTGTTGTCAACCATTCAGGGTTAATATTTTTACAAAATTAAACCAGATTTTAATTGCTGCGTATTATTTCTTCCCGCCTAATTTTATCTCCGCTTATCACATTTTGTCATATTGTCCCTCGAAAGCCACTAGTAAAGCACGTGGATCCGAAAAATTACATTTCTTTGAAGATTCTAGTTTGCATTCCTTTTGCGTCGTGAAATACATTTTACTATAACTTCTGTTAAAACGTCATTTAATTAAGAATCGTGCAGATCCCAAATAATCCGAATCTGTGCCATATATCAATCCGATGGCTTTGAATAAAAAAAAATGTAAACAAGATTCCTTCGCTACATCAAAAGTCGAGGTGGAAGTGTGCCATTGAGCAGAATAAGCCATAGCCTCTCGGAGCAGCATCGGGACTGAATGGAGGATGTGGAAGGATCTCAACACCGTCCATCTGTTTTAACTTCTCCATAGTCAACCTGAGAGTTTGTCGCTTCTCATTGTCTTGCTACAACAAAGCTTGAACTCGACTGACCAAAGCAGTATAATCCTTTTTTAGTTTGTTGTACACGCGGTTAAGCTGCTGCCAGTAGAGTTTACCGTTGATGGCGCGACCGTGTGGAATAAGCACGGAATGTACTATTCCTCGGAAATCCCACTAGACAGAATTGTTGGTTTCTTTCCCCTTACTAAGATTCAGGACTTTCTAACCAACCTAGCACTACCAAATCCATTAGAAAGTGAAGCTAATTCCTTTGAAAATATTTAAGTACCATAATGAAACGGTTGAAATTAATGATAGATTAACGTCAAATCAATAGTTTAAACTCAGTCACCAACTGCACAATTTCTACATCGTTGATCATATTTTATGATGAATTGGGGCATATTTTATATTTTTTTCAGAATATTCAAATTAATTAGGAAACAAATTCGTTTGAAAATGTATAAGAAACCAGCGCATTTTAGTTATAGCTGATATATCTGATTAAGATAATATATATATATATATATATATATATATATATATATATATATATATATATATATATAATGTATCATATTTGAAATGATATGCATACCAACACTTTCTGCTACTGCGTTTTACACCAATATTTTTTTCTTTCAGACAGTGAAATGTTCATCTGCTCCACTAGCCATTATTTATAAAAAAAATATGGGAGGGAAGAAAGGAGAAGACGAGGTGAAAGAAAAAAAAAACTTTGGTACTCTCATCCAGATCCATATTTTTCTAACAAATACATTGTTGCGTGTTCTCAAGCTGACATTATCTGAGACTTTTTTTTATTTAGAATCGCTCTGGAGCCAACTTAATAGCCAGCTATTCTTTCTGACAAAACGTATAGATGACATTACCCATGCTATATGGCTTGGATTTCTTAAAAATACTCAATTATACGTTAGAGATTTTATCATATGTTTCTTTCTGCTCTCACACATGACTAGCTAGTTTTGTACAATGTTTGTAACTTTCCAGCTTAATCGATATTTGATGGTTGCACCAGCTATTCATGAAGCTTCTTTTTGCACTCGAAATGTACTTTAATTTGACCTTCTTCATCCTCCACTACTTGAAGACTACCTCTTCAATTTTACATGATCCGTTTAGTGGACATATTTTTTGTTTCTACAAATTATACACGTGATCATTTATGTTATTATTCTGCGCGCCATCTTTATAAAAAAATATTGATATTCTGCTTTTTAATTACATTTTTCAAATTGCTGGTACATCAATAAATTATTTTCACAGTATTTCGGTTGAAATATTTGCGCAACTCATAAGTTTCGGCGAAATTTCTATAAAGAAGTTTAAAAACATTCCAGTATTTGTTTTCACACCTAGATTGAAAGTGGTTGCTAAATTTCTTTTTCTCTTGATGTTCCACACAGGGTGAGACGTTTTAGGTTTAAATTCAAGTTTATTTATTCATTTTTTTACCCGTTCAATATTAACGGTATTCATATACTTTTTTATATTCTTCAAAAATGTTTTTACCGGAAGAATTATTGGATAGCCTTCATTCAGTGGCACTTGTAACGTGTTCGATCACAATTATTGAGTGTCTAGATCCAGCGTTTACACTTTGTAACCTGCTCTTTGGTTTCATGCATTACACTGTCACGACGTAAATCTAATTCGACGTTCAAATATAGAACTACATTAAAGTTCATATCAACCTCTCTGATAAAAGCGAGGTTTGTAAAGAGTTTTTGCAAACCTTTCCTTATTTTATCATCCATGCTTCTTTTATCTGCTACTACCATTAAACCATCATTCCTGTATAGTCCATTGTCATTTATATGAACAATCGGTAAATAACGTTCAATCAATTTGGACACCTTTGCACCATGAAACGTACCTGGGAGGGGGGCATCAAATTCAACTTTATTTTGTTTTGTTTTTTTCATTACCTTGGAAGAGACTTGATTTTCTAAAATGTAAAATAATTTCTACTGGCTCATGTATTATGTTAACAACCTTTTTCGCAAAGTTTAATGCTTCAATAAGCTCCTTCTCCGATATTGAGGGATTCAACAATTTGAATGTAGGTGAGTTCGCCAATTATGTACAAATGGAGCCTTCCTAACTGTGAAAAAAAGCATAAAGCAAATTTCCCGAATAATCCATCATTTCGTCTAACAAAACAAAAAACGAATTGGGAATAAGAAGCCGGAACATTTTACAATATGATGTCGAACTTAATAAGAATAGCAACACCAAATAACCAATGGAAAGGTACTGGGGTGTGTAAATCTTCGTGCCGAAAAAATAAGAAACAAAAAAAAATGTATCTATTAAATATGATATAAACAATAAATAAGCGAATAAACTAAGTAAAAAATAAACCAATTAACAAACGAGGCCCACCAAAATAACAGAATTATGCAATAGACTACCCACAATACATCATAATATATATCTATATCTACATCTATATATATATATATATATATATATATATATATATCAAAAGAGTATCAAATACCCAAGGCAAATGTCCTAACGATTGCGTTTAACATCAAACTGGGCATTGACGTCAATGTCCACTTTATGTATATATATATATATATATATATATATATATATATATATATATATATATATATATATATATATTTAAAAAATAAACTTTAGAATAATGAAAAATAAAGAATTAAAGGAATAAAAATTAAAATATATATATATATATAAAATATAGATTTATTTTTTTTAATTATTTAAAAAATTATTGGAATATATATATATATATATATATATATATATATATATATATATATACTCACTGGCACGCACACAAACCCACACAACTTAGGAAGTAAATGTGTATGTATGTACGTATATATGTATGTATATGTGATGTGTTGTGTATACAGGTTCCATGTAACTTGGGATTTATGTGTGTGTATATGTGTGTGTATGTATGTGTATGTATGTGTGTGTATGTACTGATTCCTTCTGGTGGGACGGTGTGTGCGTGCGTGTGTGTATGTATATGTGTATGTGTACAAATGAGTTTACTATTTCCTCGTAGTGAGACATTGTATGTATGGAGTGTGAATTTTTAATAATATGTGGAAATCTCCGCCTTTTACCTGAAGACGGTCGCGAAACCAGAAACCCGTGTAGTAAAATTATGGAAAATAAAGCATAATATTTTTTTAAAAAATCCACATTACAATCAAAAAAGTTTGCGGTACCTCTCTTCTTTTTAATATATGTATATATATATATAGATAGATAGATAGAGAGAGAGAGATGTAAGTAGAATGGGAATTGCCTGTTTATTTCGTATGTTTGCTGTGTGAATGTAAATATTTTCTAAAACTTTTTTGTTAATCTTTTGCTTAAAATTAATTCCATAAGACTGACCGGCAGACATACAGAGATAGATAGATAGATAGATAGATAGATAGATAGATAGATAGATAGATAGATATAAGTAGAATAGTAATTAATTGTCTATGTATTTTATGTGTTTAATGCTGAAAGCCTATTTTCCTCAGGCATTCAACGGCTATGGTCAGATATATAGAATGTAGTTTATTTTTACTATGATGAAGCATTTCCATATTTTCATGATGATATGATAACGCTCCTTACTTTCAGGAAACATAAACATTTCCATGCAAATGGACATCTCATGAGCCTGTGATGAATGAGTAATATTTTCACCAATGTTAACTGATACCTTCTTTCGAAAAGGTGCTAAAGATAAATCTTCTGCCACGAGATCCACTACATTTGTTCAATATTATGCTTAAATCGAGAGATGATATCCAAGTATAAAATAGAAAAGGTGATGTCTTCAATTCGGTTTATCGATGAAGCGAAAAACAGCTTGCTACGTTTGCACCACATATGGAACGTATAAATTACATAAAAATCTCATTTTAAATATAGATATTTTATCACTTTAAATGTTATTAAAATTCTAATCGTCTGGGTAATTGAAAACCAGATGTGTACCCCGTATTGTCCCAAGAATTTTCTTTGTTATGGGTCCTTACCTATAACTACAGAATGAACTCTTCCTAACACTATGTATACTACGCCTCTCAAGAGAGAGGGACGAATCTAGTCGTGCCGATAGTAGTTCACTCCAAACCAGACTGACAATCATACTAACACCTTCCATATCTCGTATTATTATTTCGTGTAATATACCTTCGTTATTTCTACCCTTGTGTTCGTATTGTTCTTCCTTGGTCCTAACCTAGACCATAACAATCTTTAGATTAATAACATTTTTTTTCAATATAGTAAGTGTTTTCTACAGAAAGAGTGAAGGTAAATTCGTGTCGAAATACGGTAAATGTCATTCACGTTTTATATCAATGGTTTAACAAAACAGGTACGTTAATATTTAACTTGAATTACCTTTTACATAAGCACAATCTGAAATATTAACTATGCGTGTAGACATATTCATAAGCAAGACTGTACGTGACTTCTGATTGACATATTTTTTATCGGTATCGCGCCATGTAAATTAATTTAGCTTCTAAATAATAAGGGTTTGCAGGGCTTGAGATAATAAGTCACAGAAACATTAATAATGTGCGGAAAGAGAATGAGGGGAACAGTGGATAGGGATTAGCATTGCATTTGAATTTTTGAAGATTAAATTTGATTGGAAAGCATATAACAGGAAGGAAGCTCCACAAGCAAGAAGTGCGGGAATAGAAACTGTTAGGATAAAATTTACGGCAACGTATAATCAGGTCAAAATTTAAATAATGAAATCTCGACGCCACTCTAGTACTGTGCTTAAATTAAAAAAAAATGTCTTGGCACCATAGCTCATCCATACAATTACCATAAAAGTATTCATAGAAAAGCAACCTTTCGACGGGGGGGAATGTGACTGAAGCAGAGCCTCCATATCCGTATCGATAATATTGCTAATTCTTCTTTGGATTTTATCAAGGACCTCAAGGCAAAAACAGGCGCACTGACCATATTTGATAGTTTTACCTAAGCATGGGCGAATGGTATATGTATAGATATGAGATCTTGGCACCAGTCTAGAACCTGCTTAATTAATTTAAAAATGTCTAAGTACCACAGAGCAGAGCGGTATTTATTCTGTTCTCTACAGAAATGTGGCACAAGGCCGAAAAGGGGATTGGGGAAAGGATGATCTTCTTCTGTCTTAACTATAACTTAGCTAGCCGCAAACACTGGCCCAATCGTATGAACAATATTCCTTACACCAAAACAACACATTCATACGTACCTTTCCTACTACATCCACCATGATACCTCACTGTCTCTATGAAAATACTAACTAGTCCCCATATTTACAATTCATTGTCTGTGGGGGGAGGGGAATAAAAACAACAATTCTAAAAAAACTAGCCCCATTGAGTATTTACAAACATAATTACAAAACTATTTACAAGAAACTAAAGAAAATAATATTAGTAATAAACCCACCTCACAGTCACTAAATATGGCAGAAACATCAGTTCAATGGCCGAAATCAATGCGGGACTATAATAGTATAAAACATTCATTCATCCCAAGAACTCACACTCACATGCACTCATTCAGACACAACAACAAATACGAAAAAACTCACGCGAAACGAAAGGCGCCCTGCATCCACCAGCGAACTGACATCAGTGAGTAGAGCGATATTTATTCTGTACAATACAGAAATGTGGCACAAGGCCGAAAAGGGGATTGGGGAAAGGACGGTCTTCTTCTGTCTTAACTATAACGTAGCTAGCCGCAAACACTGACCCAATCGCACGAAACAATATTCCTTTCACCAAAACAACACATTCATTCGTACCTTTCTTACTACAACCACCATAATACCTCACTGTCTCTATGAAAATACTAATTAGTCCCCATATTTACAATTCGTGGTCTGTGGGGGGGGAGGGGAATAAAACAACAATTCTAAAAGTTAACCCCAATGAGTATTTACAATATGCATACAAAAACTATTTACAAGAAACTAAAGAAAATAATATTAGTAATAAACCCACCTCGCAGTCACTAAATATGGCAGAAACATCAGTTCAATGGCCGAAATCAATGCGGGACTATAATAGTATAAAACATTCATTCATCCCAAGAACTCACACTCACATGCACTCATTCAGACACAACAACAAATACGAAAAAACTCACGCGAACTGACATCAGTGAGTAGAGCACATCCAAAAAAGTACCATGAAAGTATTTATAAAAAAGACAGCGGAAGGCGACTCTTGGCGGGAAAGTGACTGAAGCCGAGGCGCCAGATCAGTACGAATAATAATGAGAAACCAATTCTTTTCGTCCCTATCTTAGTTCGAACAACGGGTTTTCCCTGACAATATCGCATAAATAATAGGCTATTCCGTTTTGATAGCGTGGGAAGCCGGAGATGAAAAATTAGAAACGCTACTTGGTTTCAGTGTGTAAAAAGTAAAATAGAAAGTAGTGTTTAAAGTAGGATTCAGTGAAATGGAAATGTTTTTAATTTCAAATATTAAAATATGTGTCTTCTCATTTCTTAAAATAACGTCCATCATTCATTTTCTGATTTTTATTGCATTATATTGTTAAGATTTACCACAAATATTTAAGGATATATTATTACCGTAAAACTAGCCATGAGCTCATACAAGCATTAACTTAAGAATTAAGATTCATCAGATAATTAAAATAGGAAAACCGTGAAATATTCACAGGTAATTCTAGCCAAAATATATTTGAAAATATAAATATTTTCTAAAATGCTAATGGAACTCTGAGAAACTGTTAATAATAAGTGGACATTAGATAACCTTAGCAAAGTGGATTAAGCTTAAAGTAGCTATTGCTAAGTGCTTTGAAAAGTTTCTCAATTATGAACAGCCATAACGTAAAATAGTTCACATTATTCTTTTATTCAGCAACGTAAAAATGATTTACTCGTTTTAATCTGTTTTCTGCCTGGGTAGACCTATGTCCAAATGCGCAAACGTTAGATTCCTGCAAAATGGCAACGGATGAATAGGAGAAAAGCGGGAAAAATGCTGATCGTTGAAGAAGAACAACGAGAATATAAACTGGAGGAGAAGAAGTAGAGAGAGAAAGAGAGAGAGAAAGAGAGAGAGAAAGAGAGAGAGAAAGAGAGAGGGAGAGAGAGAGAGAAAGACCGAGAGGTGGAAAGAGGGTTCTCTGCCTGAGAAAGTGTCTATCAAATGAAATACTAAACTACTTCAAGAAAAAGAAAGTAAATGGAAAATATTTCTTATCTTCTAATCATGGTTGGGTAAAATATTAAAAAAAAGATGAAAAATGAAGAATACAACTGACAGACTTGCGCAACATGCATCATGATTAGCAAGCGTTTCACAGTGAAAATATCTGTGGTATAAAGTCGTCGGGCTTAACACGTGAGATGTATTAATTAGAACTACAAACAGATTAAGGTTCAGTAAAGAATAAATGTATTTCTATCGATCTATCTGTCAATCTCAGTCTGCATGGATCTATCTATCTATCTATCACAGTCTGCATGGATCTATCTATCTATCTATCTATCTATCTATCTATCTATCTATCTATCACAGTCTGCATAGATCTATCTATCTATCTATCTATCCATCCATCTATCTATCTATCACAGTCTGCATGGATCTATCTATCTATCTATCTATCACAGTCTGCATAGATCATCTATCTATCTATCTATCTATCTATCTATCTATCTATCTATCTATCTATCTATCTATCTATCTCAGTCTCCTTTGATCTATCTATCTGCCTATGTCAACATAACATCAGTTATCCTCCTTTCTGTATTAAATTATCCGTAAATCGCCATTCCCATACATTTTTTCCTTAAGCAGTTGCAATAATAAACGGACTCCCGACGCGCTGATTCTTTCTTTTATCATTAGAATTTTCAAGTCGAATGTCAAAACCTAAAGTTCAACCATTATCTATTTTACATAACCTCATAATATGTTTTTTTTCTTTTTTTTGTGCATTTAACCGCAAGCAAGACGGGAAGCCACTAGCACGCAAGGGGTTCCAGAGAGTTAGAGCGAGAGCAAATAGGAATGATAGAAGAAAGGATGAAGAGAAGGTTAGGGGATAGATCAGTGCATCTGGAGACGTCGATTGACGTTACATTTGAGTAGTTGGAGATTATAGCTATCAGGAAAACAAGAAATAGGGAGGGAGTTCCATAGGCTAAAAGTGCGAGACATTCAACTATTGTGGTAGAAGAGACGGCTACATTTAACAGTTTCGACAGTGAAAGGTTGACAGCGAGATGTCAGCCTAGTTGAACGCTTAAATTCATGAAGTCTGGGAAGCAGCGAAAGCAGCTCATCGGAGCAGTTACCGTGAAAGTATTTGTAAAAGGGTACGATGCAAATGTACGTTATTGAATGCCTCTCGGCTGTAATATGGCTTTTAATTTTTCATCGCCTGTTATAAATGTACGGACAAAAAACAGTGAATGTAAGCACTCTGTTTCAACGCAGCGAATTCTAAAAAAAATGTTAAACATGTAAAGAATAATGGTGAATATTTTGAAAATAGAACTTTTAGCAGAAAAAAATTCTATTCAATCATATAAAACAGTTGGTGAGTTGGAAGTTCAACTGAAACAAATTGTCTGAATAGAAGTTCCCAAGAAATGTAGCATTGCCAAACGAACACACGAAATGACGTTTCACAGATCGCTACAAATTTAGGCACATCAAGTTAAAGTTCAGCCGTTATTAACCCTAAATATTCTCACCCCACTAACACCATCTTTGTATAGCGTCGACAATCAGGAAATATGGAAATAAAAGAAAAACAATAAACAAACAATTTTTTCTTTCATTATATTGGTGGAGGTCTTCTCATGAAATAAGTGTTACTATATTAGGATCATCTGTGTGTGTGTGTGTGAATATGACAGACAAGGAAAACTTCACGAACTTTATTCTATTTTGCCAGCATTCTTATATTTTTCGTTTGGTGGGTGTAAGTTTGAGCTAATTTGTTTGTACAGTATTTACATTAGTCGGACTATTGTCCTCATCTTTGTCGCCATTATTTCTATGCTTGGTCGGCTCAGGAGATTTTTGTGGCCTAGCATATGTGCTGATTCCTGATAGAAATAAATACAATATGGGAACCAGTAATAAGGAGTGCCAGAGAAAAGCAATGATAACAAAGTTGTAATATGAACTCTGGTAAAGACATGCAATGATAACAGCAAAAATTGCAATATGAGCACTGGTAAAAATGATGCTGAAAACATTAGGTTTATAATACTCAGAAGTTCATACCCAGATGTCCTCAAGGACACATGGCATAGTGGATAAAGGCGTTGGTTAGATCCAGTGACAGACCCAAAGAAGGTGAGTTCAATTCCTGGTTAAGGCAGTGGAGAACTTTCAGAGGGAAAATTAGCAGGAGATAACTGATAATTGACATCCATCAAACATGGCAAATAAATAAATAAAGGGTTCAGTTCGAAATTCCAACCACCTGAAGAAGGCCGAAACGTTGTGACAAATATGGCGACAAAGATGAGGACAATAGTCCGACTAATGTAAATACTGTACATAGTACCTCATCTCAGAAATATAGAAAAACTCTAATTTGTTTGTATTGTTCATTTTTCCAAGAGTTTTCGGTTCCTCCATTTTCGAGAAGTAGCCGGAAGACAACTAAAGAGATGAGTAAATTTTCCTTGGCTGTCATCTTCAAGGAAACATTTATAAGAGAATGTCCGCCATATCATTACATATTTCTTCAACATTTTTTTATATTAAAATGCCTTATATTAAAATGCGAGTATATTGTTGGCATATGTATTGTTAACATACGCG